GCTGATCGTGTCGCTCGGTTAGCTCTCGTTAGCTTTTGTCACTGCAGACCGTTTCGGAGGTTTAGCCGTTTCCACAGCGCTGACAGTCCGCTGGTTGATAACTGACCGGTCGCTCTGTTCGCTCTAAGTTACCTTCCCCCGTGTGAGGACTTTGACGACGTGCTCTTTCTGTTTTCGCTGCTGTTTTTGTTTTTGTTTCTGCTCGTCTTTCTCCGATTTCGAACTGGGCGCCATTTTTGCTTCTTGGCAAAAAAAAATCCCTCCCTCCGCTCCGCTCCGCTCCGCTCCGCCCCGCCCCGCAGCCCCACCCACCTCCGCCAATGATTGGCTGCTGGCGGAGCGTTACGGCACGCTCATTGGTCCGACCGCTCATCAATCAAATCCGTAACTCGATGACAATTTCTGATTGGACGCGGCTAAGGTCTGAATATTCATCGGCCAATCAGTGAATTGATGTCCGTTGAACATTAAATGGGCAATATGTGAATGAATAAATACAATGAAGATTAAATTTAATTAAGAATAAGCATAAAAATCACACACATTACTCTGTCTTTAACTGATAGCTTGTATAAATACTCCTAACGTGGTGATTAATCTATTATCTATACATACATACCCAGAGGTGTAAGTAACGAATTACATTTACTCTCGTTACCATAATTGAGTACAGTTTTTCCTGTAACGGTACATTTTGGAGTAGAATTAAATCGTAGTACTTTTACTCATATTTGAGTTTATTTTTAATAAAATACTTTTACTTCGCTGCTTTAATTTTCTTAACGTTACAGAGTAAAAATAAATGATGAGCGAATCAGCTCAGACACCAATAATAACAAGGAGCGGTTAAAATTAAAAGATTCACCAATCAAAAAACAGCAGCTCCGACAGGAAAAACAGTACAGAGGTGTCCTGTTTAGTAAAGAAGGACAGAGGAGAACTGAACCAGCACACACGAGGAACAGACCGACGTCCAAACGGTCATCTGTATTCATTTTCACATGAACTAAAGAAGACGGCGTTATTATCAGCGGCCGAAACCTGCTGAGATCCGCTCTCACAGCTCCACTCCAGCCTGAGGCAGCGTTAGCCGAGTTAGCTGATCTGAGCTAAACAGGTACCGTGTTTACGGGTTTCTTCTGTCTTTTATAATGATTCTGTTTATTACACTGGAAATCTGCTGCGTATATTTTATTACAGTGTCTGTCAGCTACTTTAGTTAACAGGTGTCGCCCACAGGTTACCGTTTATACAGCCTAGTTTAGCGGCTGTTTTGGAGATAAACGGTCGTGAAGACAAGAAATCTAGTCTAATACAGGATCTTTATCAACTCCGAGCAGTGATTCTGTCGCGCTGTCGTTGACAGGCCTGATCCGATTCCTCCCCCCTGCCCGCCCTCTCTCGCTCTCTCTGTCTCTCCCTCTCTCTGCCTGGTGTTTGTCTTTAACTGTGAGAGGCTGTGCAGCTGTTTAACTGTGAAAATTGCAGTAACAATGTCTGATTAGTGAAATAAATCAGTGCTGGGCAAGTTGCTGATGTTGCTGCTGATTTTAATGGTGTAAATGTTCTGACAGATATCAGATATCAGTAATAATACAGTTTGAAGCTGTGAAGGTCACACCTATTAACGTAAGCTAGAGTCCAGGGAGCTGATGGGCAGCAGGACTGTCACTAAAATCACATAATTACTTAAGCAATTTACTCATAATTTTGACTCTTTTTTCTCCTAAATGTACTTATTGAAACAGTAACATCCTCTGCACAGTCTTTCAGGGATTCTGAAATACTTTACTGGAAACAGATAAACTAGGACATCTTATATAATCGTCTAACCATGAAATGCATGCAGTTTAATGTAAACCTCATTCCTTACACAGCTCACAGAAAGCTGTGTAAATATTCAGTAGCAGAGCGAACTGTGATCAGTCTCAGCTCTCAGAACTTTAGCTTTAGTGTTTTTCTGTACAGATTATTTCCAGTGATGTAGCCGAGTCAGCTCAGAAATATGTTCAGGTTGTGACGAAAAAGTAACTAAGTAACTCAGTACTTAAGTAGTTTTTCTGTGAACTACTTATTTACTCTTACTTGAGTAATTTTATTTACTAATACTTTTACTTGTACTTGAGTAAATTGTCACTACAGTAACAGTACTTGTACTTGAGTAGGGATTTTCAGTACTCCTTACACCTCTGTACATACATACAGATATCCTGGTGTCCTGCTGAAGAAGAGTCAGGTGAGGCCATGATATTCACAAAAAGCTTTGCTCTTTATTGAAGGAAAAGCAGAAAAAGCTACTGCCTACAGCAAAACTCCCTGGCACCTCACAGTGACTTCTCCCTCACATAAAACAAGCCACGCAATAAAACACAACTAATTCATACCCACAAATTAGACTACGAACAATCAACATAAAACAACAGTAAAATGTTTAAGGGGGCCGCTTCCCATGAGCCTTTCCGTACAGCTCTCTGCATGTCAGCTCCTGAGAGGCAGTGTGCCTTGTGGCAAATCAAATGCCACAATGCATACATACATATATGTATGTATATATGTATGCATTATGGCATAAAACAACCCATGCAATAAAACACAACTAACACATGCCCACAACTTAAACGATGAACAGTCAACAAAAAACAACTGTAAAACAATCATTTGATTGACACAAACACATATATTCATATGGACAAAAGTATTGGAATAGCCTTGCAGAACGTTCCTGCCTGACAGCATTGTGCTGACTGTAAAGTTTGGTGGAGGAGGGATGATGATATGGGGTTATTTTTCAGGGGTTGGCCTCGGACCCTTAGTTCCAGTGAAGGAGATTCTTAATGCTTCAGCAGACCAAGACATTTTAGACAACTGTAGACTTCCAACTGTGTGGGAACAGTTTGGGAAAGAACCTTTTCTGTTCCAGCATGACTGAGCACCAGTGCACAAAGCAAGGTCCATAAAGTCATGGCTGGGTGAGTTGGGTGTGGAAGAACTTGACTCCCCCTCACCGAGCCCTGACCTCAACCCCATCAAACACCTTTGGGATGAACTAGAACAGAGATTATGAGCCAGGCCTTCTCATCCAACATTAGTGCCCATTCTAGATGAATGGGCAAACATTCCCACAGACATACGCTTCACAGAAGACTGGAAGCTGTTATAGCTGCAAAGGGGAACCAACTCCATATTAAAGCCTATGGATTTAGAATGGGAAGTCACAAATGCTCCTGTGCGTGTGATGTGTAGGTGTGTATGTGTCCCAATACTTTTGTCCACATTTTGTATGTTTGGAGTGCGCTGTAGTGTAATCTCTGCCACGACCTGTTATGATGTAGTACCAGCATATGACCGCAAGATGTCGCTCATGTTGCACAGCATGAGATCCATATCTCAGGCCATAATGTGTGACTTGAAAAGTGCGGGTACATGCTGTAATATATAATACAGGATTACAGGTTAGCCCTTCCCCTCTTTAGGTGTGACTGGAATGACAGGTCTTTTTAGGTGGAGGATTTTTAATACAGAAACTTCCTGATTTCACTTTTGAGTCCAGCTCGTCCTCTAACCTGAAATGGCGTCGAATAAGGGTAAGCATCCATTTTTTATATTAATCCGAATTAAAATAGGTGTAGATTATCATGTAGTATATAAAACTTAAACTGTTATTTAAATGGATTTCCAGGTAACTAATTTACCTCTTTAAATGTGTTAAATTGCTATAGAAAGTTAGAGAAGCCACAGGTCCTGTTCACAGAGTAAACATGAAACCCTTATTCTTCTGTAGGCCTGCTGAGACACATATCTAAACTGTCTGACTGTACTGTACATTACTGACTGTAATCTAGTTTGACTATTAGGCTAAAAAGAAAAGATACATGCAAGTACAGTCAAAGTTTGCTATTACCTCTGAAAATTAAAATGGCATTAGTGTGAAGTGAACCTTTAACTCTGTCTAGCAGAATGTTAGATAACAATAGTTATTAATTGATAACTAATAGTTTTGTCCTCTACAGAGAACACACACAAATATGGGATTTTTCTGCAAATTTTAGCCAAATGTATTGGAAAAAATAATATATGAAATATGCTTTTGCACAGGTCACGTTTTATTTTTTATAATATGTCAAATTCAGCAAATAAACAGTAATTGTGTAGAGGAAGTGATCACTTTTGCACAAAACTTTATACAGCATAACTACGTACTGTGGAAACGTGATAGACTACTGAAATCTTACACTAATAAACTTTGCCTTTAATGTAGTTATGTTATGACTGTAGTTTGGGGGGAGGAACAGCCTGAAACCCCTCTTTCTTCTAATCTAACAGCCTATAAATTCACATCCTCACCCTCCATGATGAAGCGTTCCCAATCCCTACTGCCACCCCATCTCCTCCCTGTTCCTCAGTCCTACATCAGTCCTGCTACAGCTATTGCGGGTTGGGGCTGTCAATTCAAACCAATCCAAATACTAAACCTGATAACGTGTACTAGTAGAATGTGTAACACAAGGGTACTATTTTTTGTGGCAGAAGGATTTGCTGATTTTAAAGGACATTTCATACAATCTTTGGGGCTTATTTGCTTTACTTTTTTATTTATTTTGCAGAACTGTTGTTTAAAAGCAGTTAGAACAATGGTGGCTATGTGTTATTTTGAATAACATCACATCAGTGATGATCTACTGTACTAGCGATTGGATTTTTCCACTGTACTACGGTTTCCAGCATGCACTGCAGAAATGTGCTCCCATCCCCCTCCCCAACAAGGATCTATGGGACAGCACCCAAAAAAAATAAATAAAAGATGCCAGGTGTCTAGTTCAAGCGAAGGGGCAGTTGATTTTGACACCCTTGTTCTATATGAACACAAGGACTTGGAAATAATAGCTTATGCAGTTTCAGTGTTTAAGTTGGATGATTTACAGTTTCACATTTTTGGGTTTTTGGAATGTTTTTATTTTTTATTTAGATACTGTTCATTATGCTATATTATGCTACATTAGCACAGCAGAAAATAACATATGCTTGTGGCACAGATCCATCACGATTTCGGAGGAGGAGAAGTGTAAGCCCACCTCCTGAAAGTAAGTTACATTGCATTCATATTCTCTGGAATTGAGACTACTTGTAAATGTAAGGCTAAATGTATTTGCACCCCTCCTGAATTCTTCAGATTTTGCATATTTGTTACATTTCATTATTTCAGATCTTCATACAAAATTTAATATAAGGCAAAGACAACACGAATAAACACAAAATAGCGTCTAAATAATTACATTAATTGAAGGAAATTTGCATTTAACAGCAACCGGCCCTGTGTGAACAAATAATTGCCCCAACAGTTAGTTGATTAACCAAATAGTTGATAACTGACCTTTCCAGCAATGTGAAGCTGACTAAAAGGTCTCAATAAGCAGCACACTATGCTGTCAAAAGAATAAAAGGAAATTCCGGAAGAGTTGAGACAAAGTTATTGAAATATATTAGTTTGAAAAAGGTTACAAAGCCATTCTTAAGGCTCTGGGATTCCAGCTAACCACTGTGAGAGTCATTATCTCATCTCACATTTGCCAAAAACGCCTTGATAACTGATGAGAAAATCCTGCGAGATGATGTCTTGTCATGAGTTTGTGATCTAAAGCTTAAGCACAACTGGATTATGCAGCAAGACAACAATCTGAAGCACAAGGGCACGTCTACCTCTGAACGTCTCAAAAGAAACAAAATGAAGATTTTGGAGTGGCCGATTAAAAATCCTGACTTGAACCCTTTTGAGATGCTGTGGCAGGTCCTTAAAGATTACATTTGTATCAGGATTTGAAACCATTTAGGGTGAGAAATATACCATTTAAAAAAAATCAGGGGAGAACAAATACTTTTTCGTGGCACTGTATGTATTAATATGTTTGCCTCACCCAACTCTGGCTAAATTTTAACTCATTCAGTTCATTATTGACAAATACAGAGTTATGTTAAGACTTTAGCATTTTTGAAATGTATGAAGCCCTGAAGAACCTTTATTTTTATATAACCTCAGAGCCTTAGTTAGAATTTTGCAACTATGTCCAACATAAACCCAACACCTGAAAGAGTCACGGGAAAAGGTCCTGTAGTCAAAATCTTGGAAGGCACATGGACTGAGGCTCTCCAGGGTTTTCAGTCAAGTTCCACAAATTTATTATTACTGTTTTATTATTATTTTATTCAATACAAAGTGATATACAGACTACACTGTGCATTGTTAATGGGGAAATACCAGAAATACCAGTCAATTGCAGTTGAACAGCTGACAAAGTTGTATTTACAACTAGAGACTCAGGATTTTAGATGATACTCAAGTTCATGAGATGTGGTTTATAACATGAGCTTTCACCTTTTACATGAGTTAAGAAAGCGAAGCTTGTTGTAAATGTGAAAAAAATATGTAAATGATGCACTTCTTTTAGATCTATGTGCTTTTTAACACAGTAAAGAAAAAGCAGGACTGTATTCTCCAGATCTCCATGCTTTGTTTCTCTGTGTAGTGTGCATATTTATTAACGAGCACCTGAACGGAGTGAAGTCATATTCACTAGTTAATCATCTGGTATATACACCTTTCCGATGAGCACCTGAAAGCAGCATAAGCTACACCTGTGTGCTTATTGTTCATCTTATGACGGAACCCAGGCCCATTCTAGTGTTACTATTCTATCCTATTCTATTCTATTCTACTCTAGTGTTGTTCTAATTTACATAACTTTTGATCTGGGGTGTTTAATTATTACTCAGTTGATGAAATGGATAGGAATGGATGGGTAAATGTTTCTTTGTGTTGGATTTGTTTGTGCAAATGGATTAAAATTGTTTAAATATCATATCAATACCTTATCCTTGAAGTTTGAAGAAATATGTTAACATTGTTAAAGTTTCAAAACTTGCCAGAGAACAGAGACCATTTACATGTACAATGGACATGAGTCAAAAGGTACATCAAAAAAGGCCTGTGTAATTTTAAGTAACAAAGAGAGGTTGGAAAATGCCTTAGGACTGTTTTTGGTACATTATTAAGACAAATATCATAAATGGACATCAGGGAAGAAAAATAATGAAACACAACAAAAAAGTTGAATATGGGCCCTTTAAAACAATAAATAGTCTATGAAATTGCACATTTGGAATAATGTTTTTCATGAATTGTTGCTTTCGGTTGTATATGTATATAGCAAAAGTGATAGAAAGATAAATTAGAGAAAACAAATAATGGGACTCAAACATGGCATGCTGTAATAATCAATACAATAATACATTTTTAAGTCATATATTTCTCAATTTTATAATGCAGTGAGGATTATGCTGCTGGGAAAGAACAGCCAGGACAATAGAAGAGTGGGAAACTTCATCCTGAGAAGAGACGTGTTTGATGCTGAAGCTCCTCTCAGTTCAGTAGAGCAGTACAGTGAGAAAGCCAGAGAAAAAGCGGAAGGAAGAGACATCACACTCATCAACACACCTCAGCTGTTTGATACTGAACTCTCTGATGAGGAGCTGAGTGAGAGAGTGAAGGAGTGCATGACTCTTTGTGATCCTGGACCTCACATTATAATGCTGGTCACACAGCCAGGAGACTTCACTGAGGCAGACAGAAACCAACTGAATCACATCTTCAGATCTGATGATGTCCTTAAATACACCATGGTGCTCACAACACAGTCAGGCAGCAGTGTAGGCCCAGGTGAAGAAAGTGTCTCTGAGGAGATTATAGAATGGATTAAGTGGCATTTTGACTTAAGACATGAAAGCAGTCATTCTGCTCTTATGGAGATGATGCAGAAGATGATTGAAGAGAATGGAGGGGAACACTTTCAGTGGGAGGAATTTGTGATGGCCCCAATAGAACAACAACAGCAGCAACAAACAGCAGTGCAGAAAAAACCCGAACAAATAGTGAGAAAACATAGTCTACATAAAGACAGCAGACAGCAGAAGGAAACACGTAAGCACAGTTTTATGAAATTATAATTTAAATAATTTTCTTTGATTTTCTTAGTTTATTTTTAGTTTACTAAATTATACAAAACCATTCTGCTAAACAAAATATTAGATTTTCACCAGTGTTCCAGAACCTGTTTGTGATAATCAGACTGCAAAACTCATGATAACAGTGGTTTTGGTCACTGACATTAATATTCCAAAAAACAGCAGGAAGATCTTGGAGTCTATTTTCTCATTTTGGAAAACAAGATGACAGTGAGGGTGAGTCATAGTCAATTATATTCTAAATTAAATGTTTCTCAACTCATATATAAGCTTATAAATTAATTGAGTTTAAATTTAATACATGTATTGAATTTTTTATCTTCAGTTTTTTTTTTTACATTTCATTATTTACATTTTAACGTGATTCATGTTTTGCTGTGACTTATTTTCATGTACCTCTTTAGTGTAAATTTCTAAACCTGACAGGTTCCAGTTTGTTTCTCTTTCAGTGCCTCAGAGGTTGAACTTGGTGCTGTGTGGCAGTGATGGAGCACTGAAGGCCTCCATATCAGATCTCATTCTGGGCCCAAATAAGTGCAGACCAGAGCCCAGCTCAGAGTGCGTGAGGAGAGATGGAGCGGTGTCTAAGCGCTCGATCACCCTGGTGGAGATGCCGGCTCTCTACAACGCATCTCACTCGGAGGAGGAAGTGATGCGAGAGGCTCTCCGCTGTTTCTCTCTGTGTGATTCAGGAGTCCATGCGTTCCTCCTTATCATTCCAGTTGGTCCCCTCACTGATGAAGACAAAGGAGAAATGGAGAAGATCCAGAACATTTTCAGCTCTGAAGTCAACAATCATTTAATAGTTCTCTTTACAGCGCAGCATGCTGATAGTACAGCTGAAAAAGAATTTATAGAACAAAGCACTGACATAAAGGACTTTCTTTCCATTTGTAAACATAAACATATATTAGTAGAAACAAAAACAGGAAAAAAAAACAAGCAAATAAGTGAAAAACTGTTAGATGAAATTAAAGAAATGACAGAAACACAGCCATATTGTCTTTACATGTACATGAAAGCTCAAGAGGAAAGAGTCAGATGTGAACTACAGGAACAGAATAAAGAAGAGCTGAGCAAAAAGGAGAAAGAAATCCAGGAGTTAGAGAAAGAAGTCCAGAAGTTAAAGCGGAAGCTCCAGCCAGAAGGTAAGCACTTCGACTTTTCAGATCAACCCTTAAAGTAAGACAACAATGGATTTAATACATTTTAATAAACCATATGACTTTTAAAGCCCTGTTCTTGAACCAATGCATGGAAAGTACTGTGCAAAAAAATCTGAGTCCACACTTATATGCATTTAATTTCCAGTAAAAAACGTCCATTAAGTACAAGTTGGTGACAATGAGAATAAACAAATTACTCTGCACATTAAAAACTAAACTTTTGTGTATCAAGCTGAATGTTAGTCACCAGTAGCAGACACATGCCTGCTCTGCTGACAGCAGTAAGGCTTTTGGAACAATTATCACAGCGTCCCAACTTTATGTAATTCAAACATTTTTATTTGAAGCCGTCATTTCCCAGCTGCTGAGCCACCACTTTGTTTTCATGTGTATTTTTGGTGTAATACTGTTTTATCAAACACCCACTACCACACACCACAAAACAGAAGGCAGACTCTCTGGAGACAAACAGAAGTCTGGTTTGAAGGACAGTAAAGATAGGCATGCCTTTAACCAAGTTCTACAGGCATCTTATTTTCCAAATTTATACATCAAATCAGTTTTTTATTTGCTTAATGAAAAGATACTTCATAAAAGAGCACTTTGCATTTGTTTACCCTCTGCAGTTTTCTGTCTTGTGACTGGGCAGTCACAAGCCTGTAGATCTACCAGAAAATGTGTGGTTTATGTTTCCATTATAGCGTGTAGGGACCCCTGATACCGACTGAAGAACATCTGATAGAAGAATGTCTGAACATTGTTGCTGACCAAATTAATCCTTTCATGGCCTTTCATGGTTTATTCACATTTGGATGGGAGCTTTGAGCATGACAGTACATGTCAAAAGGCATGTATTATCACCAAATGGTTTCAGAATCAAGATAAAATGTTTATTGCTTCAGTGGACTTTACAGTCCCCAGATCTCAGTCCTATCAAGCATCTTCAGGACTAGGTGAAAGAGGCTGTTTACAGTAAGACTGCAGCCATCTAGTCTGCAGCATCCGCTCAATGCAGTCATTTCTACATGTCGCCACATACCTGCACAACGCATTGTGTAGAATCCATGCCCAGGCGTTCTGAAGGCCAAAGGAAGCACATCTTGGTACTAAATTTGTGCACCCGATGAACTAGCAACTCAGTAAATGTGTGAAATATGATTTAAATGTGTCATTTTTACCCAATTCACCCACCCGCTAGTTAGGACTCCCCCAATCACACGATGCTATCAACGCTAGGAGGGTGAAGGCTAACACAGGCTTCCTCCGAGACCTGTGAAGCGCCACCGCTACTTTTCGAACTGCCGCTCACGCAACGTCACTGAACAGCCGAACGCGCTCGGAGGAAAGCGCCAACCGCCAGATCTGTTACGTCAGCTAACAGACGCCTGCACTGACTAGCATCGCGCTGAGTGCGTGATGGGGGGAGAAGGGGGGCCATCCCACCCACCCAGAGAGAGCGAGGCCAACTGTGCTCTCTCGGACTCCCGGCTACGGATGGCTGTAGCATCACCAGGGATCGAACTCGCGATCTCCTGATGATAGGGCCAATCAGGTTTTAAACCACAAGTCAACTAAAAAAAATCATGCCGTGTTGACCTGTAAGCCAGTGTTGGCTGCACCAGGTTTTAATTCTACATTTAATCGGCAGTGGTTTCTTGTGAGGTAGGCGGGAGTGCTGTCCTACTACAAGCTGATGGAGCTGGTATTAATAAAGCAGTAGCATATTTTTCTAATAAGCTAAAGAAACATCAATGACAATTCCACATCATGACAGCAGGCACTGAGTGGTATGAGGTAAACTAAAAGCACAGTGAGTATAGACATAACTAGCAGTTGCAGCAATATTACAGTGTAAAGTGTGCAGTGAGTGTCATTGTATATAAAGAAGAAGAACTAAATTTGTAAAGGCTTTTGAGCAAATTCAGTCAGTGTTGGCTGCACCAGGTTTTAATTCTCCATTTAAACTGGCAGTGGTTGCTTGTGAGGTAGGCGGGAGTGCTGTCTTACTACAAGCTGATGGAGCTGGTATTAATAAACCAGTAGCATATTTTTCTAGTAAGCTAAAGAAACATTAACGACTATTCCACATCAAAGACTATTTCATCACTGCGCTGGCTTTGGTGTTGGCTATACAACATTTCGAAGTGTGTATGTATGGGGTTAGTTTTGTGCCAAACTGTTTGAGAGAAGATCCTGATGTCTGAGAGAGGAATGTCACGGTTTGAGAGGACAGCGCTGCTCTGAGCGCAGCTAATGAACTTGAACGCACTTGTCAGCACGAAGTTTGCAGATAAACACCTTCAGATCTGCTCAGCAAAACACTCTGGTTTCATTCAGAACTTGAAAATCCACAACAATGCATCTCTTTCAGAGCTCGTAAGAGCAGAACACTCCGTTTTTCACTCAAAACTGGAAAAGTTGCTCAATCGCGCTCTTCACCTTCAAAACTCGCACGTGCGCGCGAATCACTTCTGCTCTCAGCTCCGCAGCGCGCGCTCAACTTTCACGACTGCTAGCTGTAAAATGTCTGAATGTTTGTGTCAAAACTCCAGCCAATCAGAGCTGCCGAGGGGCGGGTCCTGCCAGCGCACCAATCATGGCGTCTTTTCTTAAGCAGCTTTATGCCAATTGGTCAATGTCCGTTCGTGGCTGTGGTATTGAGTCGACTAGCGTGCTTGTAGCCTCGACATTAGCTAGATGGTTTCTAGCTTTCTGGTATCAAATGAATAGAAATGATTTATCAGTAATGCTCATCATAAATAATAACGTATTAATATAACTAACATTGGTAGCTTGGCCATTTGTTTCCTTCCAGAGGCTTAATGGTAGCTAACTTAAAATAGCTTAACATTAATCAACTAAGCTGACATTAGCAAGGTTTCTTTGACTGTAACTAACAGTGTCTAACAGTGTTCTACTGAAAAGTCTTAACTCTCCTATAGCGCTCGTCTTCATAGGCTCATCTTGTTAATCCTGTATATTTATCTTGTATAGTGGCGTCATTAAAAAACAGTACTGATGCTGTGCAGTTTTATATGGACAAAAACCCACTTTTCAGTGAGTACAGGGAGTAATATGGTTCCTCCTATTTTGTTTATTAGACATAATACTGTACTTCTTTTCTAAGGCCCATTCATAATGTTTTTTCTCTGATGTTCACACATAGGTAACTGTAAAAAAATAATTGATTAAAAATATCAAGCACACAAACTATAAATATAAGGGATATTTCTTCTCATTCTCAGCTCTTTGCTACCATCTCCGGGTTTCCCCCAATCCTTTTGAATAAGCAGATGATTCTGAAACTCACTGTTAAAAGACTTAATTGGCTGACTTATCATCTGTTGTCAGCATTTCAATGTATTAATGCAGTTAATATTCTGGACACTAAGTTTAGGTTATCAAAACACACTGACGTTTGGCTTCAAACCAACCTACTGTTACAACAAAGACAATTTGCATTACGACTTTAATAAAATACTTTTTTCAAAATGTTGAAATGAACTCTAACACATTCAAGTAGTTGTTGCGACCAAACGTGTCTGAATCAGCAAGAGGATTAATGGTACTCTGCAGTACAGCAAGTTGGTCCAGGGACAGAGGGCAGGGAATGCTGGGAACAAACTCTCCTTCCTCCACATTTGCTAGGCCCTCTGGCAGCATCTCATCTTGTTGAAGCTGAAAAGGTAAATGAAGACAGGATAACTAAAAGTAATTTTCAAAGCATGTCATATATTACCATAAATTACAATAATGATTACATGTCTTGTACTTTCCCAACAATGCAGAACTAAACATGTTTGAACAAATGAGACTTTTTTTTAACAGAATAAATATGATTGACTTCACTTTGAGGTTGAGTTTTAGATCATTTTCCCAAAACACATTTAATCTCAGGCATAACATTCTTGTTTCTACACTCATTGTCCATTTTATCAGCTCCAGGTACAATATAAGTGCACTTTGTAGTTCTACAATTATAGACTGTAGTTCATCTGTTTCTCTGCATACTTTGTTAGCCCCCTTTTACCCTGTTCTTCAGTGGTCAGGAACCCCATGGACCCTCACAGAGCAGGTACTATTTGAGTGGTGGATCATTCTCAGCAGTAACACTGACATGGTGATAGTGTGTAAGGGTGTGTAGTGCTGGTCTGAGTGGATCAGACGCACCTTTAGTTCTGCATTGTTGGGAAAGCACAAGACATATAATCATTATTGTAATTTATAGTAATATATGACATGCTTTGAAAATTACTTTTAGTTATCCTGTCTTCATTTACCTTTTCAGCTTCAACAAGATGAGATGTTGCCAGAGGGCCTAGCAAATGTGGAGGAAGGAGAGGTTGTTCCCAGCATTCCCTGCCCTCTGTCCCTGGACCAACTTGCTGTACTGCAGAGTACCATTAATCCTCTTGCTGATTCAGACACGTTTGGTCGCAACAACTACTTGAATGTGTTAGAGTTCATTTCAACATTTTGAAAAAAGTATTTTGTCTTTGTTGTAACAGTAGGTTGGTTTGAAGCCAAACGTCAGTGTGTTTTGATAACCTAAACTTAGTGTCCAGAATATTAACTGCATTAATACATTGAAATGCTGACAACAGATGATAAGTCAGCCAATTAAGTCTTTTAACAGTGAGTTTCAGAATCATCTGCTTATTCAAAGGGATTGGGGGAAACCCAGAGATGGTAGCAAAGAGCTGAGAATGAGAAGAAATATCCCTTATATTTAGTTTGTGTGCTTGATATTTTTAATCAATTATTTTTTTACAGTTACCTATGTGTGAACATCAGAGAAAAAACATTATGAATGGGCCTTAGAAAAGAAGTACAGTATTATGTCTAATAAACAAAATAGGAGGAACCATATTACTCCCTGTACTCACTGAAAAGTGGGTTTTTGTCCATATAAAACTGCACCGCATCAGTACAGCATTGAGCAGCTTTTCCAGTTTTGAGTGAAAAACGGAGTGTTCTGCTCTTACGAGCTCTGAAAGAGATGCATCGTTGTGCAGATTTTCAAGTTCTGAATGAAACCAGAGTGTTTTGTTGAGCAAATCTGAAGGTGTTTATCTGCAAACTTCGTGCTGACAAATGCGTTCAAGTTCACTGGCTGCGCTCAGAGCAGCGCTGTCCTCTCAAACCGTGACATTCCTCTCTCAGACATCAGGATCTTCTCTCAAACATTTTGGCACAAAACTAACCCCATATGTGTGTCCAGTTCAGTAGGGAATGTAGTAATCTTTAGTGATCACAGTCCCTCGACCTTTCCTGCACAGTTCAGAACTGCAAACCAGTGTGTGTTAATGTGGGCTTGGTTCTACAGCGCTATAGCTCGGTGTTGAATCATGTTACTGGAAGAGGTCATATGTTTTTCAACACTCTGTCCAGGCTGAAGGATGGTATGCAAAGGAAGGAAATGCAAAGGTTTTGTTACTTTTGGTAATGTGGTATGAGGTAGTCTAAAAGCACAGTGAGTATAGACAACTAGGAGTTGCAGCAATATTACAGTGTAAAGTGTGCAGTGAGAGTCACTGTGTATAAAAAAGAAGAACTAAAAAATAAAGAGAAACGTGGTGGTATGTTTTTTTTGTTTGGTTGTTTTTCTTTGACGGGGGAGAAATGTTAGCATTCTGAGATTTGGACTGCAGGCAAATCTGTTTGGACTGTTGGCCTTTCAGTGGTTTAAAACTACATTTAGACACACATCTCACATTAAACTACAACACAGAGTCTCAAATACAGTCAGGACCAGGGAAAATCAATTACACTGGAGACATGTGTATGAGAGACTGAGAGGTATCAGCAAATATCAAACAAAAATGTAAAAATCTTAATTTTATATGACAAAATTGTGATTATTGAGTTGATCTTACCAAAATAATGTGTAACTTGTACTAATGTCACTTTCAGGTAATGAAGATGAACCACAGGCTTCAAGCTGCTTAAGGGTGGTACTGATTGGAAAAACAGGAAGTGGAAAGAGTGCGACAGGAAACACCATCCTGGGAAGAGATGTATTTAAAAGTGAATTCAGTTTTGTTTCTGTGACAAAGGTTTGCAAAAAAGGAGTTGGTGAGATTGAGGGAAAATCGGTTGCTGTTGTTGACACTCCAGGCCTCTTTGACACCAAACTATCAAATGAAGACGTACAGCAAGAAATTGTGAAGTGCTTCTCACTGTTAGCACCCGGACCTCATGCTTTCATCATTGTGCTGGGTTTGGGAAGATTCACCAAAGAAGAATTAGACACTTTAGATCTGATAAAAATGACATTTGGTCCAATGGCTGCTATGTTCACTATAGTGCTGTTCACTGGAGGAGATAAGCTGGGAAATAAGTCAATAGAACAAGTCATTGAGGAAAGTAACATGGAACAAATCAACAAGCTGCTCAGAGACTGTGGAAACAGATATATAGTATTTAATAACAACAAAAAAGAAGACCGCACCCAAGTTTCTGAACTTTTAGGACAGATAGAAATGGTGAGAAATTCAAACACATGTCAGCACTTCACAAACAGCATGTTTGAAGAGGCAGAAATGTCCATCAAAAAGAGAATTGAGGAAATTCTGAAAGAGAAAGAGCGAGAGATCAAAGCTGAAAAGGAGAAACTGAAAAACAAATACAGCAAAGAAATGGAAGAGATGAAGAAAAGACAAGAGGAAGAAAAACAAAAGGCTGAGGAAGAAAAACGCCAAATGGAGAGGAAGTTCAGAGAAAAGATGGAAACCCTCAAACAAGAGTTTGAAGCAAAAAATGAACAAGAGAAAAAGAAACGGGAGATGGAGGACAAGATGAGATTAGAAGAAGAAAAAATACAAACGATGAAATGGCAAAACAGAATTAATGAGTTAGAAAAAGAGAACCAAAAGCAGAGAGCTAAATTTGAAAAACAGTTAAGAGACAGAGAGGAGGAGGATAAAAAGAGAGAAGAGAGATACAAACAAGAAAAAGAAATTCTCATGAATCAACAGAAGCGTGCCATGGAGGAGCTGAGACAGAGACAGGAGGAAGAGCGTAAAAGGAAAGATCTGGAAGAGGACAAAAGGAGGCAAGAGGAGGAGAATGAGAGGCACAATTGGGAGAAGAAAATAAAAGAGGCTGAACATGAGAGGAAAGAGACACAAGAGGACCTAAAACGTAAACAGAGGGAATGGGAAGAAGAAAAGAAAAGAGACATCAAAAGACGGGAGGAAGAGGACTGTCTAAGAAAACAGAGACACGCAAAAGAGCAGAGAGCAAAAGAAGAAGAACAAGACAGATTGAGACAGGAATTTGAAAGGAAGATAGAAGAAGAAAGACGTCAGAGAGAGGAGGAGAAACAATGCTGGAGGAAAGAGAGTGAGAGAAAAGAGAGAGAGAATGAGGAAAAGAAACGTGCAATGGAAGCACAAATGAAAGAGCAGTATGAGCAGCTGGAGAAAATGAGGAGGGAAGAGTGGGAGAGAAGAAGACGTCAGGATGATGAAAGAAGAGAAGAAGAGAAACAAAGACTGCAGAAACTTAGAGAGGAGATAGAGAGAGAACGGCAAGAGGAGATTAGGAGGAGAGAGAGAGAGGACACAGCAAGAAGAGAGAGAGAGGAGAAGGAACGTGAGGAAATGAAAAAGAACTATGATCAGAAAATAAAAGAGATGAAAAATAAATATGAAGATGAAGCCAGAAAGCAGGCTGAGCAGTTCAACGAGTTCAATGATGAAAAAGAAAAACACTTCCAGGAGCTGATTAAAGAGTATCAGAAACAGTATGAAGTTCTGGAGAATCTGTTTAAAAGCACCAAGGCTGAAAATACTGAGGAAATGAAGAAACTACAGCAAGAACTGGACAAAAAGTCATGGTGGTCAAAGTGTGTCTTTCTTTGAGACTCAATGTAAAACATGATCATGATGATGATACTTCTTAAAGGGCAGTAAATTGTTTATAAAATTCCTTCCACTATTTTATTACTTAATCTGTACTTTGGCTGTGTCTGAGTAAGATGATTTAATGTCACTAATGTTGTCAATGATTTAATGGTACTAAGCTTGCTGTTTAGTTTAAACAGCTTTTTAGCTCATTTAGGGTTATTAGCATTATGGGTATGTGTGTATCTCCTCATTGTATGATCACAGTCCTTTAGTAAAGAAGCAATGGATTTATTGTAAATGTTGCCTGTTTTTTACTCAAACACCCTTTTGTAATACTCAACTCCACAACCAGTGCCTTCTGAACTATTACTTCAGGTGTGTCAAACGCAGGGCCTTCCAGGCCACAGCCCTGCAGTGATACTCTGAATTCACTTCATGATGGCAGGAGCTTAATTTGGTTTAACATCTTCTTTGTATCTAGGTCTCTCATCCAAACTGTTGAGTCATTTTAACTATGTAAAAAATATACACCGATCAGGCATAACATTATGACCACCTCCTTGTTTCTACGCTCCTTGTCCATTTTATCAGCCCCACTTACTATATAGGTGCACTTTGTAGTTCTACAGTTACAGACTGTAGTCCATCTGTTTCTCTGCATACTTTGTTAGCCCCCTTTTACCCTCTTCTCCAGTGGTCAGGACCCCCATGGACCCTCACAGAGCAGGTACTATTTGGGTGGTGGATCATTCTCAGCACTGCAGTAACACTGACATGGTGGTGGTGTGTTAGTGTGTGTTGTGCTGGTCTGAGTGGATCAGACACAGCAGTGCTGCTGGAGTTTTTAAACACTGTGTCCACTCACTGTCCACTCTATTAGACACTCCTACCTTGTCAGTCCACCTTGTAGATGTAAAGTCAGAGACGATAGCTCATCTGCTGCTGCACAGTCTGTGTTGGTCATCCTCTAGTCCTTCATCAGTGGTCACAGGACACTGCCCACAGGACGCTGCCCACAGGACGCCGTTGGCTGGATATTTTTGGTTGGTGGACAATTCTCAGTCCATCAGTGACACTGAGGTGTTTAAAAACTCCAGCAGCACTGCTGTGTCTGATCCACTCAGACCAGTACAACACACACTAAAACAACACCACCACGTCAGTGTTACTGCAGTGCTGAGAATGATCCACCACCCAAAAAATACCTGCTCTGTGAGGGTCCATAGGGGTCCTGACCACTGAAGAACAGGGTAAAAGGAGGCTAACAAAATATGCAGAGAAACAGATGAACTACACTCTGTAATTGTAGAACTACAAAGTGGACCTATATAGTAAGTGGAGCTGATAAAATGGACAATGAGCGTAGAAACAAGGAGGTGGTCATAATGTGTCTTGGGTGATCCCATCATAAGTGGACAGCACTGAGTACATTTCTCTAGAACAAAGCATTTCACACCAAACCACGGGAATGAAAGGGAATGTACTATCATGAACATTTCAGAGGTGATTTGGTTGCAGATATAGTGCTGATGGATTGGAGAAGAGTGCTGCGAAAGAAAAAGAGAAAGGGAATGTGGAGGCTCACCATTAGCCACACGCTTCACTCTGACACTGACACCCCCCAAATGTCCTGTGGGCTCTTTATGCAGGCAGAGAAAATAAATGCCCTTCTACATGAAGCTGATGTCTTGGTATCATCACTCCAAGCATTGTACTCTACACAACACAGAAGTAAACCTGTTACAACTTGGTTTGAAAATTTTATCATCATAGTCTATTACAGTACAGCAGTTACCATGGTCAAAGTACATGAAACTGGACCTGTCCCTCCGTTTTTATTTCATAGATAAAAACACTGGATGTTTAAATGATTTGCTGGCCACCAAACTGGTAATGTCCCCGGTTTTCATTTCAGAAGTCTGGTCACCTTACCTTACTATAAATGCACTATTCCCTGGATTCGTCAATAAAATGCAACTGGTACAAAATACAAAAGCCAAAACTTTCTTTTTTAACAGCTGCATTTTACTGCACATTTTAAATCAAACTTACGAATCACGTGAGGTCTGAAAGTCAAAAAATCAATCTGGCAGAAATCTTCTTTTGAGACCCCTCCATCAACAGTAATTATAATATATAAATAGAAGTCGTTCTAAAAACCTCTGACTGCCGATCATGTGTGTTTTGTCTGCTAAAAGGCTGCACTGGATCATCAGCTTCCGTGTTGGAGTGTCGTGCTGGACTTTGATGTCTGTAGTTTGTAGACACTCCCTAATGAGCTCTCAATGGGTTTAGCAGCTCATAGAAATCAACATGTACCATGTGTTTAAAATGCATTTTCACACAAAAAATAGTGGGCTGTTCGCCTTTGCTCTCTTTTCATGTTTCAGACTGCTTGTATAAACCTGTCAGGTTAAGGTTATCAAAAGTTTGATTTACAGCCAGGACGGTCACTAGAGGTTCAATGATAGGGGGCCTCAGCCTGTACTGGGGGGTCTGGGGGCATGGTCCCCAAAGAGAATTTCTTTTTAATGGACCCCAAATTGTTTATAATGCACATTCAGAGTAGCAACAGGCAGAAAATGTCAAGTACATCAGCCGTGATAAGTATATAAAAAAATTTAATAAGCTGGGTGACAGAATTTCACAGTAATGATGACAAATATTATGTTTTCGCAGTCAAAATTGATTCAGTATTAATTTTAATTGAAAGCTTCTACAACCCGCCCTCACTTTCTTCTTGCTTACTAACCTCCACCAGATCTACTCCCTCAGCTGTCAGTCCTTCAGCTTCTTTCTCTCCCTCTCTGCCTGTGTTTAGTAAAACATTTATGTTATTAAACTCAGATTTACAACAACTCAAGGAAATAACGATCAATTTAATGTTTATAGTTTTAACTGGTAAAAATCTCATCTGACTGACCTTCGGTGGAGCTGCTGTGTCTTAATTTCCATCTAAAGATTGAGGGAATTGAGGGATATAAAACTGTTATTTTATCACACAAAGCAATTTTCCACCTTAAATGCTGCAGCAGTTTTATTCTGGCGCCTCGCAGCGGAAAAAACTCCAACGTGAATCTGGCGAGTAGGAAGAAACTTCAGCCTCGTCCTTTTCCCTGACTTTAGCTGTAAACAACAACGTACTGCAGATATTGGTGAGATTCTTTCCAAAGACTGAGGAGAAACACAGAAAACAAATAATATAAAGAGCTGTCAATAATGTTATTCCTGCCCCTCTTCTTCTTTCACTCTCTCACTCTCACTATGATGTGGTGAAACTAGTGGGCTTGTGAGCTAGTTAAGTTAGCTAATGCTAGTGTTAGCCTAGCATCATTTTTACCTCAGTTAAACCCAAAGTTAGCTAAAGTTGGCTAACCAGGGTTAACAAGCACCCGTGTTAAAAACAGATCCAGCTATACAGACCATAATTTGCCACAAGTCTGTACTGTAGGTGATATGTTCACTCTGTATATTACAGATTCTGAATGAGGTCTAATGTTTATTTCAGTGAGCTTTTAGCCCAAATCCTGTCTTCAGCTCAGCTACCGTTACTGTGCAGCGCGTAAACAGAGCCCCTCCCCCAGGTCTGATATGATTGGCTTATAACATACGAGGTCTGATATGATTGGCTTACAACGTACAAGGCCTGATATGATTGGCCGAACGTTACGTTAGTCAGAAAACGGTAGGAGAGCAGAGGCAGCACTGCATCAGAGCAGCAGCAGCGCCTCCCCTAGGTCGCGCCCTGCTATTACAGTATATTGTGAACGTGAATAAACTATAGGTGTGGACAGTAATGTACATGTACTTAGCATGTGTGTGTGTGTGTGTGTGTGTGTGTGGGTGGGGGTGGGGGTGGGGGTGGTCAAACTGTAGAATTTTACGGAGCAACAAACGAGAATAAAGAGTTTCCAGCTCGCTGCTGTCGAATCAGGTGGTGTGGAAAATCAGAATAAAATAAAAATACTTACTAAATTTCTGAATAAAACACCGTGAACTAAGGAAATAAGGAATTCAAGCCTTATTGACCTTATTAAAATGATTATTATTATTATTATTTTTTTGTTTACATTTTTTACAAACTATCCCTTTAAGCCCCCTGTAAAGGTGTAAGGTGGTGGGGACAGACAGCAGTTTGGCCAGACACATTTCCAAACACTGACCCTGCTCTAAGGAACTCCTCACTGACTATAGTCTTCAGTGGCACACAGATGCGAGGTGGAAGCTTCCGGAAAAGTCGCTGGGACAGTTGGCCGGAGAGCTGCAGAGGGAGAAACAGTGAGAGTGAATACGTAAAGGAATGACAAACTATGCTTTTTTATTGATACTGAAATCTCAAAATTTAAATCAAGCTGCATATTAACTTTATTAACTATAATAACTATATTAACGTGCTTTAATGTGGTTTTATTAGACTAGATACCCAGTGAGCCAAGAAATATGGCTATGAAATTGCTGAAATTTCATTTAAAGTGGTATTCCTGTCTAAAACTGGCATTTGTTATGAGTCCTGTTCTGAAATGTTCTGAAGTGCAGCACTGTATCTCTCACTTGTTTGACACAATTCACAATTGTGCATGCTTTTTATGTTTTCATTCTTTGTCTCTTACTACAATACTATGTTTACATCTCAGTGACTGATTTATGCAGAAATTTTTAAAAATAGGTGGAGTTCCCCTTTAAAATGCTTATCAATAAAATCTCACATTCAGGCTCATGGTGGCCAATTCTCACTCACTGTCCTAGTCATTTTTAGTAACACTATTAATGACAGTGGTTTATGTAAAAAGCCTCTGTATAAAAGTTGGACAAAATAAAAGCAGTTTAGTTTAGAAAATTAAAGACAGTGAAGGGGAATTCCACCAATTTTCAAAAATTCTAAATCATTCAGTCTTTGAAATGGAAGCAAAGTCATTTAGAGTGGTTTGGTGTGAAATGGTTCACTGTAGAGAAGCTTACAGCCTTTACAGTGGTGCTGATAGGAACCAGGGGTCACAATGACCACAACACATATATAGCCATTTTATTTACTATGGAAAACCAGCAGTGAACCCACACGAGTCTTCTGAGTTTATATATGTAATGTTGATGATTGTAAAACGTTGGTAAATCTAAAAACAAAAAATGTAAGTTTTCTTTGGGGACTATTCTGCCTCACAACGCCCCACGTATATCCCTCCGCCATGAATAAATAAAAAATAAAGGGATTAAGATACATTTTAAGCTAAAAGCTTTCCACAAAGCTGTCGTACAACAATTTCTCAGACATGAGGCAGCGTATATCTTACCTATTAATGTGATATCTTTCTGTGAAGGAGCTTTTAGAGGCATTAAACTCTTCAGACGTCTGGTTCCTATCACCACCACTGTGAACCATTCGGATTCTGTAGTTTTTCTGGAACGGAGAATTTCACACCAAACCACTCTGAATGACTCTGTTTATATCTCAGTCGTTTTCTGAAAATTCGGCGGAGTTCCCCTTTAGGTCTCTCTCTTGACCGCGAGATGTCGCCCATGTTGCACAGCGTGAGACCCTCAGATAGAATAAAATGTGCCCTGAAAAATCCGCGTACATGCTGTAACTGAGAAACTTCCTGATGTGAAGGTACTTTCAGTTCGTCCACTCACCTAAAATGGCGTCGAGTGACGGTAAGCGTTTATTTACTGTACTAATCCGAATTAAAACAGGTGTAGGTCACATCATGCTGCATTTACAACGTTTATACAGTTAAACTGTTATTTAACTGAATTCCCAGTTAACTGTTTAAATGTGTCAGCCCTCCTGTTACCTTCAGATTCACTAACATCTTCATCCTTGGTGCCAGATTCACCCCCGCAAATTAAACCTCCAGACAATGTCTGTTGTTTATGCCTCAGGGACTTTGTTTCTTTGCCAAAAAAACGGTGTTAATCGTTTATTTAGAGACGTTAAACTGCGAATGGAGTCCCACTGACCCCAAAGATAATAGGAGGGCTAATGTATAAAGTATGAGAAGCCACAGGCCCTGTTCATAGAGTATACAGGAAACCCTCATTCCTCTGTAGGCATTAACCGTTATTCTCATTCATTACCATGTCAGTCGGCTACAACTGATTAGGAGAATGTTAGATAGTTATTTATAGAATGTATACAGTAAAAAAGTTCAGACACCCCCGGTCTAATTCCAGTGAAAATTAAACACATCCTCCACAGAGAACACAAATATGAGATTGTTCTGCCAAGTTTAGTTTGACATGCTGGAGAAAATACAATATAAAATGTACAGGACACATTTTATGTTTAGTATTTTTCCCCCAATATGTTAAATTCTGTAAATAAACAGTAATTGTGCATTAAAATCTACAGAAATGTGTTCTGTGTAGAGGATGTGTTCACTTCTACATATGGTTTTATACAGAACAAGTACAAGGGAGAAGAGAATGTCTAACACAGCGTAATGTGGAAACTTGATAGACTACAGAAATCTCACACCAATACTAGAACCTCACACTAAATCACAGTTGATCTGAATTTGCTCTGCTATCTGAGGTTGATGGTAATAATGCTTTCTGTTAAAACAGTTCTACAAGTGTCGGACAGCACACTCAGATTGAGAAGTGTTCAAAATAATTTATTATTTTCATAAATAAATCCAAAAAATACTTCACATCATACATGGGGCTGGGCGATAAAACGATAACAATAATTATCGATATAACTTTTCCTCGATAGAGTGATAAGAAAGGTTCGATAAATTTTCGATATAATACACCATTCTCACACTTCCACGTTCAGGGACAGCCCTGGTGGTGACACGAGTAAGAGGAGTCTTTAGCAATGTCTGAAATGTGGAGTTATACATTCCCTGTTTGAGTGAAGCGACCGGCGATCTGCTCTCCTGTGACCAAGTGTGAGTGTCGAGGTCAGTGGTGTAACTGTACTGTCCTAAAGCGAACTCACCTCTTTACTAACATCCTAAACAGCTTTAGCAGTGTTAAATCACAATCACAATCCTCACAACTACAGCGCTGTTACTGCGCCCGGACAGCCATATTTAAGTATTGCATTCACAAGCAACGAAAGTGAAAGAAAGAAGTGGGTTCATGTAAATTACAGCCCTGATTTATACGAAAGTAAACTGAGGAAGCTGTGAGGCATTGGAGAGCGGGAGAGCGCTAGCTTTCCAGGCTAGCTGTTTTTAGCAGCTGGCTAACTTGAAGCCAACTCGAGCCAGCTAATGTTTGCTGTCCGTACTAAGTTGACGTTGTTGGGAAACTAAACAGTTTAGCGCTGTTGTTGGCCACTTGTTTAGCATTTGTAACGGGGTAGCCGAGCGCTCGTCACCAGACAGCTAACAATAATCTTTTCATTCTTAAATTATGACTATTACAAAAATTGCGGCCGTGCTTTTCCAGCTGGTAAAAACAGCTCACCAGACACTTTCTCCCACTGTCCCAAGACAGATTTGTGAAATGTTCCACTGTTTGGTGAGTGTTTGTCACGTTCCGACCAGCAATTAACCACCCAGGAGCAAAAATCAGCCTTTAAACTTGAAAGAAATAATAATTTGACATTTATCGCGATATGTATCGATATCAAATGATGTTAATTTTGTTTATCGTGATAACATTTTTTGCCATATCGCCCAGCTCTAATCATACATAAATTAATTAAAGATACTATGGATGAACTATCGTTTCAATCAAAATATTTATTTATACTTGTTACCATATAAGAACCCTGCTGAAAAAAAAAACATAGAAACCATTAAGGTTTCTGTTAGTTCCTGATTTTGTAAAGTTTTTTGGCTTTTTTAAAGGGTTGATATCACAGTGTAAAGGAGCTTAATGGTTTAACAGGTGACCAATGACCAAGAAAACCTCGTATCTCATTTTTCAGTTTTTGACATAATTTGAAAATGCCTGTTGTCCTTTACATTGTATGTAAATTTCATGATGAATGGACTAAAAGAAATGACCCAAAATGGCTAGGAAAAAGTCTGGTTCCATTGACTTACTTTATAAGTAAAGTATGTTTTTTCCTTCTCCTGTAAAGTTACTGTTTTGGAGATGCAAGGTTTTGTTCCGACAGCAGCGATGTGTAGTAATGCAGTTTAATGTTGGATTATTTACTGTTTTGCATTTTGGAGTTTGTTTGAATGTGTTTAGATAGATGCTGACCATTATGCTGTATTATGCTACATAAGCACAGTAGAAAATAACGTATAACTTATGCTCGTGGCACAGATTCATCACAGCCTCAGAGAAGGGGAAGTCTAACATTCATACCTCCTGACAGTAAGTTATACTGCATTCATATTCTCTGGAATTGAGACTGCACTGCAGTGGAAAAGTGTTTGCCTGACTCCTGAAATTAATAATCTCAAAGTATTATGGCAAAAAACTAGCCAGCTGAATGAAGTCAGTAGCACACAAATGGAGAAACTCAGAGATGAAATTGCTGGAGAACACAGAAGATTTTTTTCCTTACCTCATATAATATATAACATGCTGAGAGTTATTCCTGACCAAAAAGTGTGGTGAGTTGTGGTCCTGGTTGACAAATCTTTACAAAATTTGTAATGGTGTAACGAGAGAACACTCCATAACCTGGATGTGTGCTTCCTTCCTTCCTTATTCATTCAGTTGTTCATAACGAAAGGATGGGTTGAAATGGGTAGGAATGGATGGGTAAATGTTTGTGTTGTAAAATGGCTTAAAATACTCTAAATATCATATCAATGCCTTATCATGAAAAATACATTTTCTTCACTTTTTGAAGTTTGAAGCAACATGTAAACATTATTAAAGTTTTAAAACTCACCAGAGATCAGAGGTCATTGTCGTAATAATCAATACAGTAACATTTTTAATTAATATATTTCTCAATTTTATAATGCAGTGAGGATTATGCTGCTGGGGAAGAACAGCCAGGAGAACAGAAGAGTGGGAAACTTCATCCTGAGAAGCAAAGCTTTTAATACTGAAGCTCCTCTTAGTTCAGTAGAGCAGTACAGTGAAAAAGCCAGAGAAAAAGCGGAAGGAAGGGACATCACACTCATCAACACACCTCAGCTGTTTGATACTGAACTCTCTGATGAGGAGCTGAGTCAGAGAGTGAAAGAGTGCATGACTCTTTGTGATCCTGGACCTCACGTTATAATGCTGGTCATACAGCCAGGAGATTTCACTGAGGCAGACAGAAACCAACTGAATCACATCTTCAGATATTTATCTGATGACGCCCTTAAATACACCATGGTACTGACAACAGAAAAGCCACAGTCAGGCAGCAGTGTAGATCCAGGTGAAGAGAGCGGCTCTGAGGAGATTATAGAAAGGATTAAGTGGTATTTTGACCTTGAAAGTGAAAGCAGTCATTCTGCTCTTATGGAGAAGATGGAGAAGATGATTAAAGAGAATGGAGGGGATCACTTTCAGTGGGAGGAATTCATGATGGCTCAACTTGCAACAGAACAACTACAGGAACAAACAGCAGCTCAGAAAAAACCTGAACAAACGGTGGGGAAAAACATTCCACATAAAGACAGCAGACAGCAGAAGGAAACATGTAAGCACAGTTTTAAGAAATGATTTTAAATTCACCAAATTATACAAAATAATTATAATAAACAAGATATTAGAATTTCACCAGTGTTACAGTTTGTGATAATTAAACTGCAACACTCATGATAACAGTGGTTTTGGTCACTGACATTAATATTCCAAAAACAGCAGGAAGACCTTGGAATCCAATCTCTCATTTTTGAAAACAACATGACAGTGTGGGTGAGTTATAGTCAATTATATTCTAAATAAAATGTTTCTCAACTCATTTATAATATATAACTCATATATAAGATTATGAATTAATTAAGTAATTTTTTTATTTGTATTGAGTTTTTTTATATCCTCAGTTTTTTTACATTTTATTATTTACATCTTAATGTGATTCATATTTTGCTGTGACTTATTTTCATGTACCTCTTTAGTGTACATTTCTAAACCTGACAGGTTCCAGTTTGTTTCTCTTTCAGTGCCTCAGAGGTTGAACTTGGTGCTGTGTGGCAGTGATGGAGCACTGAAGGCCTTCATATCAGATCTCATTCTCGGCCCAAGCCAGCGCAGTTCAGCACCCAGCTCAGAGTGCGTGAGGAGAGATGGAATGATGTCTAAGCGCTCGATCACCCTGGTGGAGATGCCGGCTCTCTACAACACACCTCACTCAGAGGAGGAAGTGATGCAGGAGGCTCTCCGCTGTTTCTCTTTGTGTGATCCAGGAGTCCATGCGTTCCTCTTCATCATTCCAGTTGGTCTCATCACTGATGAAGACAAAGGAGAAATGGAGAAGATCCAAAAAATTTTTAGCTCCAAAGTCAATGATCATTTAGTGGTTCTTTTTACAACGCAGCTTACTATTAGTAGCACTGAAAAAGATTTTATAGAACACAACACTGATATAAAGAACTTTCTTGCTATTTGTAATCATAGACATATATGGGTGGAAACAAAGACCATCTCAACAAAGAAAACCTCCCAGCAAGTGTCCAAAGAGCTGTTGCATGAAATTGAAAAAACAACGGAAACACAGCCATATTCTCTTCACTTATATGTGAGAGCTCAAGAGGAAAGAGTCACACGTGAACTACAGGAAGAGCTGGACAAAAAAGAGAGAGAAATCTGGGAGTTAAAGAGGAAACTTCAGCTAGAAGGTAGGCGCTTTGATTTGTCATATAAACTTTAGAGGTAAGACCACAATTTTGAGTGTGTTCATATGTATTTCAAATCCCTGTCCTGGACTATCAAAACATGTATGTTCATCTAGTGATGCTTAGCAAGAGCCCTGGGAACACTTGGAATGCATAGCATGTTAGTAGTATTTTAGAGTCTCTAACTAATTATAAATGAGCAAGACAGACAACTGCTAGCTATGACCAACAGCTGTGTAGCATGCTGGTAAATGACTAAGCAAAGGACAAAAGCATTGGCATGTCAACCATTAAATAGATTGATCGTTTGATTGTTGATTTTGGAAAATACTAGCTGTAATTAAGATGTAACACATCAGTTTAAAAAATAAACAATTGAACGACCAATAATGCGCAATTAACAACATTATATTGTAACCACACAAATATCTGTTGCTTTTTTATGAAGCAGTGCTGATGAATGTAGTCTCAAGAGTCTTTTAGTCATTTCATGCTTGTTACTTAATCAGTTCACTATATAACGAATGTGTGTGTTATGTGTGTGTGGCGTGTTTGTGGTGTGTGTGTTATGTGTGTGTGGCGTGTTTGTGGTGTGTGTGCTATGGGTGTGTGGTGTGTTTGTGGTGTGTGGGTGGTGTGGTGTGTTTGTGGTGTCGTGTGTTATGTGTGTGGTGTGTTTGTGGTGTGTGTGTGAAGTGTTTGTTGTGTGGTGTGGTGTGTTATGTGATTTTGGTGTGTGTGTGAAGTGTTTGTGTGTGTGGTGTGTTATGTGTTTGTGGTTTGTGTGGTGTGATATGGTGTGGTGTGTGTGTTATATGTACATGGTGTGTGTTTGTGGTGTGTGTGATGTGTTTGTGGAGTGTGTGGCATGTGTGATGTGTTTGTGGTGTGTGTGTATTGTGTTTGTGGTGTGTGTTATGTGTGTTTGTGGTGTGTGGTGTGTGTGTGATGTGTTTGTGGTGTGTGTGGTGTGTGTGATGTGTTTGTGGTGTGTGTGTGATGTGTTTGTGGTGTGTGTGTGTGTTTGTGGTGTGTGTGTGATGTGTGTGTGATGTGTTTGTGGTGTGTGTGTGATGTGTTTGTGGTGTGTGCGATGTGTTTGTGGTGTGTGTGTGATGTGTTCGTGGTGTGGTGTGTGTGTGATGTGTTTGTGGTGTGTGTGTGATGTGTTTGTGGTATGTGTGATGTGTTTGTGGTGTGTGTGATGTGTTCGTGGTGTGGTGTGTGTGTGATGTGTTTGTGGTGTGTGTGTGATGTGTTTGTGGTGTGTGTGATGTGTTTGTGGTGTGGTGTGTGTGATGTGTTTATGGTGTGGTGTGTGTGATGTGTTCGTGGTGCGGTGTGTGTGATGTGTTTGTGGTGTGGTGTGTGTGATGTGTTCGTGGTGTGGTGTGTGTGATGTGTTCGTGGTGCGGTGTGTGTGATGTGTTTGTGGTGTGTGTGTGATGTGTTTGTGGTGTGTGTGATGTGTTTGTGGTGTGTGTGTGATGTGTTTGTGGTGTGGTATGTGTGATGTGTTTGTGGTGCAGTGTGTGTGATGTGTTTGTGGTGTGTGTGATGTGTTTGTGGTGTGTGTGATGTGTTTGTGGTGTGTGTGTGATGTGTTTGTGGTGTGTGTGATGTGTTTGTGGTGTGTGTGTGATGTGTTTGTGGTGTGGTATGTGTGATGTGTTTGTGGTGCAGTGTGTGTGATGTGTTTGTGGTGTGTGTGATGTGTTTGTGGTGTGGTATGTGTGATGTGTTTGTGGTGTGTGTGATGTGTTTGTGGTGTGGTGTGTGTGATGTGTTTGTGGTGTGGTATGTGTGATGTGTTTGTGGTGCAGTGTGTGTGATGTGTTTGTGGTGTGTGTGATGTGTTTGTGGTGTGGTATGTGTGATGTGTTTGTGGTGTGTGTGTTGTGTTTGTGGTGTGTGTGTTGTGTTTGTGGTGTGTGTGATGTGTTTGTGGTGTGTGTGATGTGTTTGTGGTGTAGTATGTGTGATGTGTTTGTGGTGTAGTATGTGTGATGTGTTTGTGGTGTGGTGCAGTGTGTGTGATGTGTTTGTGGTGCAGTGTGTGTGATGTGTTTGTGGTGTGTGTGATGTGTTTGTGGTGTGTGTGATGTGTTTGTGGTGTGGTGTGTGTGATGTGTTTGTGGTGTGTGTGATGTGTTTGTGGTGTGGTGTGTGTGATGTGTTTGTGGTGTGTGTGATGTGTTTGTGGTGTGTGTGTGATGTGTTTGTGGTGTGGTATGTGTGATGTGTTTGTGATGTGTGTGATGTGTTTGTGGTGTGTGTGTGATGTGTTTGTGGTGTGGTGTGTGTGATGTGTTTGTGGTGTGTGTGATGTGTTTGTGGTGTGGTGTGTGTGATGTGTTTGTGGTGTGTGTGATGTGTTTGTGGTGTGGTGTGGTGTGTTTGTGGTGTGGTATGTGTGATGTGTTTGTGGTGTGTGTGTGATGTGTTTGTGGTGTGTGTGATGTGTTTGTGGTGTGGTGTGTGTGATGTGTTTGTGGTGTGGTGTGGTGTGTTTGTGGTGTGGTATGTGTGATGTGTTTGTGATGTGTGTGATGTGTTTGTGGTGTGTGTGATGTGTTTGTGGTGTGTGTGATGTGTTTGTGGTGTTTGATGTGTGTGTGATGTGTTTGTGGTGTGGTAGTTGTGATGTGTTTGTGGTGTGTGTGATGTGTTTGTGGTGTGTGTGTGATGTGTTTGTGGTGTAGTATGTGTGATGTGTTTGTGGTGTGGTGCAGTGTGTGTGATGTGTTTGTGGTGTGTGTGATGTGTTTGTGGTGTGGTGTGTGTGATGTGTTTGTGGTGTGTGTGATGTGTTTGTGGTGTGTGTGTGATGTGTTTGTGGTGTGTGTGTGTGATGTGTTTGTGGTGTGTGTGATGTGTTTGTGGTGTGTGTGTGATGTGTTTGTGGTGTGTGTGTGTGATGTGTTTGTGGTGTGTGTTATGTGTCTGTGGTGTTTGTGTTACATGTTTGTGGTTTGTGTGGTGTGGAATGGTGTGTGTGTGTTATGTGTATGTGGTGTGTGGTGTGTTTGTTTTTGTGGTGTGTGAGATGTGTGTGTGTGTGTGGTGTGTTTGTGGTGTGTGTGATGTGTGTTGTGTTTGTGGTGTGTTGTGTTTGTGGTGTGTGTGATGTGTTTGTGGTGTGGTATGGTTGTAGTGTGAGTGCTATGTATGTGGAGTGTATGTGTGTGTAGTGTGTTTGGTGTGTGTGTGTGTGTGATGTGTTTGTGGTGTGTGTTGTGTTTGTGGTGTGTGTGGTGTGTTTGTGGTATGGTTGTAGTGTGAGTGTTATGTATGTGGTGTGTTATGTGTGTGTAGTGTGTTTGGTGTGTGTGTGTTGTGTTTGTTGTGTGTGTGTGATGTGTTTGTGGTGTGTGTGTGATGTGTTTGTGGTGTGTGTGTTATGTGTTTGTGGTGTGGTATGTGTGATGTGTTTGTGGTGTGTGTGTAATGTGTTTGTGGTGTGGTGTGTGTAATGTGTTTGTGGTGTGTGTGTTACGTGTTTGTGGTTTGTGTGGTGTGGTGTGTGTGTGTGATGTGTTTGTGGTGTGTGTGTGATGTGTTTGTGGTGTGTGTGTTATGTGTTTGTGGTGTGGTATGTGTGATGTGTTTGTGGTGTGTGTGTAATGTGTTTGTGGTGTGGTGTGTGTAATGTGTTTGTGGTGTTTGATGTGTTTGTGGTGTGTGTGATGTGTTTGTGGTGTGTGTTGTGTGTGGTGTGTTTGTGGTATGGTTGTAGTGTGAGTGTTATGTATGTGGTGTGTTATGTGTGTGTAGTGTGTTTGGTGTGTGTGTGTTGTGTTTGTTGTGTGTGTGTGATGTGTTTGTGGTGTGTGTGTGATGTGTTTGTGGTGTGGTATGTGTGTTGTGTTTGTGGTGTGCGTGTGTGATGTGTTTGTGGTGTGTGTGTTATGTGTTTGGGGTGTGGTATGTGTGATGTGTTTGTGGTATGTGTGATGTGTTTGTGGTGTTTGTGATGTGTTTGTGGTGTGTGCGTGTGTGATGTGTCTGTGGTGTTTGTGTTACATGTTTGTGGTTTGTGTGGTGTGGAATGGTGTGTGTGTGTGTTATGTGTATGTGGTGTGTGTGTATTGTGTTTGTGGCGTGTGTCATGTGTTTGTGCTGTGTGTATGGTGTGTGTGGTGTGTTTGTGGTGTGGTGTGTGTGATGTGTGTTGTGTGTTGTGTTTGTGGTGTGTTGTGTTTGTGGTGTGTGTGGTGTGTTTGTTGTTTGGTTGTAGTGTGAGTGTTATGTATTTGGTGTGTTATGTGTGTGTAGGGTGTCTGGTGTGTGTGTGTGTGTGAAGTGTTTGTGGTGTGTGTAATGTGTTTGTGATGTGTGATGTGTTTGTGGTGTGTGTAATGTGTTTGTGTAGTGTGGTATGGTGTGGTATGTGTGTTTTGTGTATGTGGTGTGTGTGTGTGGTGTGTTTGTGGCATGCATGTGGTGTGTGTGTGATGTGTTTGTGGTGTGTTGTGTGTTATGTGTGTGTGGTGTGTTTGTGGTGTGTGTGTGATGTGTTTATGGTGTGTTGTGTGTTATGTGTGTGTGGTGTGTGTGGTGTGTTTGTGGTGTGTGTGTGATGTGTTTATGGTGTGTTGTGTGTTATGTGTGTGTGGTCTGTGTGGTGTGTTTGTGTTGTGTGTTATGTGTTTGTGGTGTGTGTGTGTGTTGTGTTTGTGTTGTGTGTTATGTGTGTGTGGTCTGTGTGGTGTGTTTGTGTTGTGTGTTATGTGTTTGTGGTGTGTGTGTGTGTTATGTGTTTGTGGTGTGTGTTATGTGTGTGTGTGTATGTGTGTTATGTGTGTGTGGTCTGTGTGGTGTGTTTGTGGTGTGTGTTATGTGTCTGTGGTGTTTGTGTTACATGTTTGTGGTTTGTGTGGTGTGGAATGGTGTGTGTGTGTTATGTGTATGTGGTGTGTGTGTGTTTGTTTTTGTGGTGTGTGAGATGTGTGTGTGTGTGTGGTGTGTTTGTGGTGTGTGTGATGTGTGTTGTGTTTGTGGTG